GGTGACCCAAAAAAATTAATGAATGGGTAAATGTATTTTATTGATTTAATCATGAACTCCAGAACCGAATGTTTTGAAATCTTGCAAGTGTTTTAAGGTTATAAAGAGCAAAATAAATTTTTAGTCAAAATATATTGGGTTATCTTCTACAAAAAACTGATGACGTCAGCTCAAAAGTTTGCCGAATAAATCCTACCTAAAATATACAAAATATGATGAGTCTGTACTTGTAATTTATCATTCCATTCATATTTTTTTGAATTTGCATATACCGGGTGACTTAAAAAAAAAATGAAATCTACTTCGAAAAAAAAACATAATAGACATGCAGTCGTCACGTTTCCGACAGCGAGGGAAGTACAGTCTAAACTCTTTAGACCAATTTTTTCGATAAACTTCGAAAATTGCCGAAAGAGATTTTTTTAGATTTCGACCTAAACAAGTCACTTTCGGGCCCATTTCTCGCAAAAACTACTATTTTCCCTGAATCCGTCAAATGAGATATGTAAAATTTTAGGATTAAAAAAAAAAACAATTTCAAACCGATTTTTAACAAGTTTTGCTCCAGGACCATAAATATGCTATAATTTTCGAAGCAGTACGTCCAGATTTTTAGACAAATCTTTCAAAAGCACCGTTTTTCCACACTCCCTTTTCACTAAAATTTCGACATTTTTTGGACCACATTCAAAAGGATGTACAGCGAGTCTTGTTATAAATTTTGATTTTAAAAAAGTACTTTCGGACTCTTTTCTTAGAAAACTCTTATTTTTTTTCCAGAATCGCCCATATAAATTATGTCAAATTTAGGATTAGCGATTATAATTGATACTCCAAGTACCTAATGTATTTGTTCAAACTGTCGACTCAATTCTAAAGTCAATTTCTTTAATTGTTTGAAAATTTTTGTCACAAAAAAAATTGTCGCGTTTAGCCAAGTTGCCCAGCTAGTGTAAACAGATTCAAGAGGTAAAGATGTCCGAGGCAAACTGCCCCGGTGTATTTGAACCCTGAAACGAAATTTGAAGACAATCTTTTTTGCAGTACTAATTAAGGAATAGGGATAAAGGATTATGAGGTTTACATAATTTGCCACAATAGAGTAGCAGAAGGTAGATTTGGGGTTGGATTTATAACTAATGAGAAGCTGGAAGGAACATGGTGATAGCTAGCAGACTAAAGAACAAAACTGATTATGTAGTAACAGATAAAAATTTGGGTACCACCTAGTGGTAGCCAAATACAAACACAGAACAACCAACAAAAAATGTAGTACAGCACCGGAGGGTAATTAAGGATGCAGATTTAAAGGAAAAGTACATAAAAAAGTTATCAAAAAGACTGGAGAACTCAAAAGTCAAAAAGAAGAGAGAGAACAAGGAATTGAGGAGAGATGGAGGGCACTAAAAGAAATAATTTCAGAAACGGCGAAAACTGTAGTAGCAATAATTAAAGGAAGCAAACAAGTGTCCGGGGTGATCCATTTTTAAACAGACAAAACCAAATCCTGGCTTGCCAATGGTGTAGACATAATACGTAGAAAAGGTAAAGACTAGATAGAAATTCACAAATATTTTGAAAAAGTTGCAAAACTAAAGGGACTGCAGGTAAACGAAGAAAAGACCAAGGTAACAACAAGGAACCTGATAGTAGAAGGACCAAGTTAGATAATAATTGGCAATCAAACTTGTGAAAAAGTAAACAAATTTAAGTACATAGGTGCCTCAATGACCAAAAGAAATAAAGACGAAGAAGATAATAGTCTAAGATAATTGCGAAGAATAAATGTTACTTCGCCCTGCAAAATGTTCTAAAATCAAAACTGCTCTCGAACAAATCCAAGGTCAAAGTATATACAGCGAAAATAAGATGGATTTTGATGTACATCTCAGAAGCTGGAGACTGATTGAACAAGACGAAGCTATGCCGGACACATATGAGAGAAAGGTTCTGTGGAAAATATTTGGACCGATCAAGGAAAACAAAACGTGGTGGATTAAAACTAATCAAGAAATGATGACGCTATTTAATAAGCCTAGTATAACAGAAAAGATCAAAAACAAGAAAAGTAGAATGGAAAAGAGGGAAAAATCAACCAAGGAAAACGATGTATGGTTGAACAGAAGTTGTAAGAACTAAGGTTTGACAACTAGGAAAAAATAGTAAAGAAGAGGAAAGACTGGAAAGATACAGTCAGGAAAATAAAGGAAGTCTACAATTACAAAATTGTATTATATATATAATCACAAAAAAGAAGTGTAAAATGCATATGCAAAATATGAACGCAATGTATAATGGGGTCTTTACGTATAATAATAAATTTTTATATTCTTAAATAACACTTTCAAGCACTTGCTCTCTAATAAATCTATATAAATCAACTAATGAACTTCCTTCACTCTCATTTATTTAATAATGTTGTAGAAAAAGAGCCTGTAAATTTACCTATACTACATATAGTTGTATTATCCCACTGATATGTTACAATGTAAGATTTAAATAATTAAGAATAATTATTATGCCATATTTATTTTGGCTTTAAATCTGCAGTTTTAAATTTAAATAGTGCATTAGTCAAGTGCTTATCAGTGCTTTCATGAGCAATTTAACTCGCTGTACATATTAACACAGTCCATTAATATAATTACGAACAAAGAAAAAAGCTTGAAAATCTGCAGATCTGTGAAAAATTGACCATAGAGATTTTAGTGTTGTCTAAGTAACTCAACCAATATAGATATTTAGATAACTAGGTGTTGGTTTTTTTGGCGTTTCACAGTTGGTGTAAAGCAGAAATGCACGTTTTTTATTTTCGTAAAATATGTGGTTCGTTTGTGCATCTCTTGAAGATTTTAGGTATATTTTAATATCCTGATGAAGATACTTAAAGGTTAAGTGACATTTGTCTCATCTGTTCTAAAAATTACATTATGTTATAAACATTTTTTCTAAAAACCGAATCTAAAACTTTATTTTACAAATATAATCGAAAGATAATTTCTATACAGTTAAGTGTCTACATGCGTTAGAAAAAGTTTGTTAAATATTGTACCTAAGTTAATTAAGTTAAACAAAGGTTCAATCCGCCAGTCAACAAAACCATTGGGAACAGGAACGGGATGAAAACAGTTTCTATATTTGATCAAACACAGTCTGGTTTTACACTTTAGAACATTCTCAATGGACTTCGCCTTGTTTACAATACAATACCTGTATTTTCCTTCCGTGTTACAAATAAACAGAGAACTGTCCTAATTTGTCGAATTTCACATCAGTGGATATTCTAGGGACCCTAATTCTCCTAATTTTTCTGTCATTTCTTAGATCGCACTTTATTCTTATATATTTAACCTTTTATCAGACAGTTTTTCTTGATTTTGTTCGATTACATGTGTTACACTACACACTAGCGCAAATTTTATTTTTGTTCACTTGAGAACTTATTCAGGCACTCGTAGAAAAAATCGTGTGTGCAATATGATAGGAAAAGTGATATTTTTCTGTATCACACCGATCGCGGAAACATCACTTTACCTATTTATCTTATTGCACAAAGAGCTATTTCGAATTAAGAAATAATTAGAACATTCCGTTAGAATTGCTCGAAAAATTTCTCATTATTTTTGGTAAAAGTAATCAAACAATTTAGACGATTTAGCGTGATTTTCACCTCAAATTTGAGCAATTTTGAAAAATAAAATATGTGTAAATTGGACTTTATTTCATTAATTTTGTGGTGTAGAGCCACTTATCATTTACGAGGTCGTCAAGGAAAAGGCGCCCCGGCTAATAAGCTGTTATTAAGGAATTACGTTTTAGAATTCAAAAATAAGTTTTTATTACCTGAACAGAGATGACGAAGCTATAAAACTCGGAGAACTTGTACTAAATCCTTAACAATTTTACCATCTCGAACAATGAAAAACAAATAAGTGCAAGCACAAAGTTGCGAAGTTCTTGAAGTGTACCCCAAAGACTAACAATAGCGTGCCAAAAATCAATAACGTATTTTTTAAGCGAAAAGTTTATACACCGGAAACATAAATCTAGTTTGAATGTGAAGATTATTAAATATGCATGTTTAAATCAGACTGAACAAATGTTTTTTTTTTCAAATCCATTAAATTATCTTCGTCTATTTCTGTCCGATAATAACAGCCTCGGAACAGTAATATTCAAGGTAATTTTCACCTTGTTTAAAATCTTAGAGAATACAGTGCAAGGCCAATTGCTTTAGGATGAATAGCGCCTACGATTTTCTTCTCTTTCTTTTACACACATATTTTAAATAGGTATCTCTCCACTAATTTACAACTCCTTGTTCGGTAGGTAATTTAGTTGGCAATCCTTGTTATTATAATTACGTTATTAACGCAATTTACATTTTTGTGGAAGTGAAGCATCTCTAGTCGTTATGGGTTTGAAAAATTCATAAGAGTCGTCGTACCACAATATGTAAAACAAAACTCCCTCGTCTGAAATTTAAAAGTAAAAATTGAGAGGAAGCCAAAATAGAATTTGTGATATTGACAAATTGAAGGACACGTAATGCCATCGGCGAGCATCAAACTAATCTATTCCGAAAAAGTTAACCAATACACAGCTGCCATTCACAAATTAAAAATTCAGTAGTATCGATTTAACTGATATCCTTGGGGACTTCCATAACGAAATTTTAGGAAAGCTGGTGAATTGGAGACTGTTCGATCCTCCGTAAATCGAGGCTAGGTAAAAACAATTAATTTTTGGCCAACCCCGTTATTAGTCTAATGAAAAGAGCTCGACCGCAAAAACCTGCTTCATCCGAATGACAGTAATTGTTATTTTGACAAAAACGGCCCATCCATTTCGTGGTTCTCGTTTGATGTTCCGCCAGTCCAACATTCGATTGTTCGTTTGTACCACTTAAAAAAAGCGTCCATCTAGTTGGTGCCGACGATTTTAATCCTAATGCGTATTTAAGTATAACTTTATAACTAACGTCTTTGTTTTTGTTTCAGGTGCCGAAGAAGGATGGATTCTGAAGATGAATTAACGTTACTTTGCGCTAAGTAAAGCAATTTCGTAAAGTGCTTCTCAAATGATAACAATATAGCGGAACCGATGTCTGATTTCATATTGCCAGCCTTGGTTTTAAGAGTCGAAATTTCCGATTCGAGTCCGCCCCTGCCGCGAGGTGACAGATTCGTGACGAGGACCCATCTTCGAGCCGAGATATTTTAATAATAATTCCGCAATTGTTTGATTCTGTCGGTTTGCCACCTGGTTAATTCACAGTGGAAAAAACACATTAAGTTGATGAATAAAAAATAATACCCAGAGGTGCGCAACTAGCTAACCCTCAATCAAGCACATATACTACGCAGGTAAATGTCATGTTCGTAATTAATCTTTGATTAGTTCTAACGGCTTATTATCAGTTACATCTGTAAGGACAAATTGGTCGACCTAGTTCATTTGAGCGAGGTTAATGAATGCTGTAATCTGTTCTAAGTATAAATGCGTATTGATCGGTGCTATTTATACCATATTTTAACTAATTAATATTTATAACGAAAGGGATTACATATAATGGAGGCAGCAAGGTGCAGTTCCAAATATACGAAATGTTTAATTCAGCACAAGAAATTTCTCTGTGGAGACTGTAATTTTAATTTGAATTAAATATGATGCCAAACTTAATTACATATGTACTTAGACGTGTTGCTGAAGATTTACTTTTAAATTTTATTGTCGTGGTCATTCGTAAATAAACAGTTAAATTGGGAGAAATTGTAGTATTGTAATGGTTACATTTAACAAACTAAATTCTTCATGTGTTTATTGTTCAACTTGGTTGAAGTTTAGACAAAATGCTTCCTTATGCTTGAAAATGTATATTACTTTCGTTGTTGTATTAAGCGAAAAATATTTGTAAGCTCAATATCAATAAATTTTTTACAACTGATTTGTGTTTGTGTGTTATTCTAGAGGACCCTTTTACACTTAATTAAAAATGTTGTTAGTCATTTGACTTATACAACAGTGACTTAACATAAGACAGGTGAGACTTGCGCTACAGCTCTAAAGAATGTTGGGAACAACATGAGAAATTGTAGCCTGAAGTGACATAAATATAGCTGACCTCGTTAGCTAAAGCAGTGTTGATTTATAGTACCTTTACCAGTCTGAAATTTGGACCAATGGGATTTTTATTATTTAATTTTGGCCGGCAATAAAACAGAGAAATCTGGTGTTACTAAGAAATTTTTACAGATCACCAGTCAAACGAATGTACTTTTTGGAGAGGAATTACGAATTCTATATTCCTTAGTAAGGAAAGTTTAGAATTTTGCCTAATACTATGATTATAATCGAAATAATTGCAATCAGTCTTGTTTCTCAACTTTGTATGCATGCTATTTGGTGGAGTTAATAATGAGACGAAGACGCAAAAATTTTTGTGTTAGGTCCGACCGAAGAAGATGCGGGTCGATGTAGATTTTTGAAAAGAAAATTTGCAAATCGTTTGTAATTAGTTTTATTTATCAAAAAAGCTTTTTTCCTTAAAAAGCTTATTAAAAATTGGTCGATAGAACTTTCCTCCCTTCTGAAGTACAGTTCAACAAAAACTAACCTAAAGACAATTAGGACCCCCGAGAAGGTTTCACATTCTTAAAAGAAGACATTTGGCGTCCTTAAGAAGGTTTTATATTCTTAAAAAAAATCATTTTGCGTCCCCGAGAAAGTTTTACATTTTCAAAAAGGCAGTTGGGACCTTCGAGAAGATTTCACATTAAATAAAAAGACATTTGGAACCCAGACAAAGTTTCATATTCTTAAAAAAATCTATTTGAGGCCATCGAGAAGGTTTCACATTAAAAAAAAAGACATTGTGGGGAGTTTTTAGGCTTTTAAAAAAGACAGTTGGGACCCCCGAGAAGGTTTTAGATTTTCAAAAAAGACAGTTGGAACCCTCGAGAAGTCCCACGTTAAAAAAAAACATTTGGCGCCCTCGAGAAGGTTTTACATTTAAAAAAAAAGAGTTGCGACCCCCGAGGAAGATTTCACATTCTTAAAAGCAGACATTTGGGGCCCCCGAGAAGGTTTTATATTCTTAGAAGAACATAGTTGGGACCCCGAGGAGGCTTCACATTCTTAAAAAAAGACATTTGGCGCCCCCAGGAAGGCTTTTCAAAAAAGGCAGTTGGGACCCCCTAGAAGGTTTCACATTAAATAAAAAGACATTTGGGGTCCCGGAGAAGGTTTTACATTTTCAAAGAAGACAGTTGGGACCCCCGAAAAGTTTCACATTGAAAAGAAAACATTTGGCGCCCTCAAAAAAGTTTAACATTTTAAAAAAATACAATTGGGATCCCGAGAAGGTTCCGTATTCCTAAAAAAACACGTTTGGGGCTCCCCAGAAGGTGTCGTACTTAAAAAAAAAACTGTTGGGACCTCTGAGAAGTATTCACATTAAAAAACGACATTGGGCGCCCCCGAGAAGGTTTTACATTTTTAAAAAGACAGTTGGGATTCCCGAGAATGTTTCACATTAAATAAAAAGACATTTGGGGCCCTCGAGAAGGTTTTACCTTTTTTGAAAAAGACAGTTGGGATCCCCGAGAAGGTTTCATATTCTTAAAAATATACATTTGGGATCCTTGAGAAGGTTTCACATTCTTAGAAAAACACAGTTGTGACTCCCCAGAAGGTTTCACATTCTTAAAAAAAGATTTTTGGTGCTCCTGAGAAGGTTTTACATTTAAAAAAAAGACAGTTGGGACCTCCGAGATCGTTTCACATTAAATAAAAATACATTTGATATCCCCGAGAAGGTTTTACATTTTCAAAAAAGACAATTGGGACCCCAGAGAAGTTTCAATTAAAAAAAAACATTTGGCGCCCTCGAGAACATTTTACATTTTCAAAAAAGACAGTTGGGACCCTTGAGAAGTTCCACATTAAAAAAAAAAATTGGCGCCTTTAGAACGTTTTACATTTTTAAATAAGGCAATTGAGACCACCGAGAAGGTTTCATATCCTTAAAAATATACATTTGGAGCTCCTGAGAAAGTTTCACATTCTTAGAAAAACCCAGTTGTGACCCCTGAAAAGGTTTCACATTTCAAAAAAAGATTTTTTGTGCTCCTGAGAAGGTTTTACATTTAAAAAAAGACAGTTGGGACCTCCGAGAAGGTTTCACATTAAATAAAAAGACATTTGGGGTTCCAGAGAAGGTTTTACATTTTCAAGAAAGACAATTGGGATCCCAGAGAGGTTTCACATCAAAAAAAAAAACATTTGGCGCCCTCGAGAAGGTTTTACATTTTTAAAAATGGCAAGAGCTCTGAGAAGTTTTTACATTAAAAAAAGACATTTGGCGCCCCCGAGAAGGTTTTACATTCTTAAAAAAGTGAGTTGGGACCCCCGAGGAAGGTTTCACATTCTTAAAAACCGACATTTGAGGCCCCCGAAAAGGTTTTATATTTGCAGAGAAACACAGTTGGGGCCCCCGAGAAGGCTTCACATTCTTAAAAAAAGACATTTGGCGCTCCTGGGAAGGTTTCACATTGAAAAAAAAAAAACATTTGGCGCCCCCAAGAAGGATTTATATTTTTAAAAAAGGTAGTTGGGACCCCCCGAGAAGGTTTCACATTAAATAAAAAGACAGTTGGGGTCCCGGAAAAGGTTTTACGTTTTCAAAGAAGACAGTTGGGACCCCCGAAAAGTTTCACATTAAAAAGAAAACATTTGGCTCCCTCAAAAAAGTTTTACTTTTTTAAAAAATACAACTGGCATCCCGAGAAGGTTCCGTATTCTTAAAAAAATACATTTGGGGCCCCCCAGAAGGTTTCACACTTAAACAAAAAACAGTTGGAACTTCCGAGAAGTTTCCACATTAAAAAAAGACATTGGGTACCCCCGAGAAGGTTTTACATTTTTAAAAAAGACAGTTGGGATTCCCGAGAATGTCTCACATTAAATAAAAATACATTTGAGGCCCTCGAGAAGGTTTTGCATTTTTACAAAAGACAATTGGGAGCCTCGAGAAGGTTTCACATTCTTAAAAAAAGACTTTTGGCGCCCCTGGGAAGGTTTCACATTTTTAAAAAAGACAATTGGAACCCCCGAGAAGGTTTCATATTCTTAAAAATATACGTCTGGGTTCTCCGAGAAGGGTTCACATTCCTAGAAAAACACAGTAGGGACCCCCGAGAAGATTTCACGTTCTTAAAAAAAGACTTTTGGCGCCCCTGAGAAGCTTTTACATTAAAAAAAAATGGAACCCCCGAGAAGGTTTAGAATTTGTAAAAAAGATAGTTGGAACCACCGAGAAGGTTTCACCTTCTTAAAAGATGACGTTTGGGGTCTCTGAGCCCCGGAGAAGGTTTTACATAAAAAAAAACAGTTGGGACCTCCGAGAAAGTTTCATATTCTTTCAAGAAGACATTTGTCGCCCCCGAGAAGATTTTACACGTTTAAATAAGGAGAAGCATATTCTCACCCTTTCTGGAACGTGGGGTAATTTCATCAACAATAAATTTGTTATGACGTCATAAATATAGATAATAGGTACATATATACATAATGGGAGAGAAAAAGGGAACAAAAAGGGAAAAAGACGAAAGGTTAAGTTCGGAATCGACCGCGCGACCTCCGGTCCGCGTTAATGACTCGTAACCACTAGACCACCACCGGGTTGCCTTACGTCAATGGTAAACTGTTATTATACCGTGCACTATGTTTTTGCAAAAATTTGGACTATTAGAGAAACACTCAAAGCGGATGCGTACACCACACTTATGGGACTAAATTGTTGTGTAACAATTAAATCAATAGAATTCTTTTAAATTACCTCATCAAATTGTTGGTGGAGATGACTAGCAGACGGACGGAAACGGGAGACTACTTTTTTCGGACTCTTTGGGTCATAAAACGTCGAGAAAATATAAAAGTGGCCATTCGTCCGATGGACTCCATTAGTACTTCTTAGGAAGTAAAAATTGACATATATTCCTAAAAACCTACTCAAGGTATATTATATACATATAAAAAAAAGATATAAATTTGTCTCAAAATATTGATAATAGTAGTAATATAAAACAATAGAAATAATTAAAACCAATTTTGTTACTCAACTTTATATGTGTACTATTTAGGTCCGATTCGAGAAAGATGAGGAGAATCTATACAGATTTTTAAAAATACGGGCGAATCTTGAAATCGTTAATAAATTTGTTTTAAAACACATATTCTTCAAAGAAATGTTATGGATTTCTTTCAAAATATTGTTATAATCAAAATCATTGAAACCAATCTTGCTATTTAGCTTTGTATGCCTGTTATCTGGTAGTATTTTACTAGGACCGATTCGAGGAATGGATGCAGATTTTCGAAAATATGTCGGAATTTTTTGTTTTATTTATCAAAATGCTCTTTCCATTAAAATGAGTCTCAAAAATACACGCTTCTCTAAAAGTATTGTTTACAAAAAAATTGACAATTGTTCCTCAAAAAAAAACGTTAATTTGGCATAAGTGAAATAATTAAAACAATATTGCTACTCACCTTTAGATGCGTATTATGTGTTAGATTTCATAATACGATGAAGCCATAGAGATTTTTTACTATATCCTATTCGAGGAAGATGAGGGGAACCGATGCAGATTTCCGAAAATACAATCAAAATTTCAAATCGATAATAATAAATTTGTTTTAATTATCAAATTGATGCTTTCCCTAAGTGATTTCCTAGAATCCACGCTTGTCTGAAAATACGTTTCAAAAAAAAAAATAATAAAAAGAAAATATATATTATATATCATTCAAAGAAAAGTTATGAATTTCTTTCAATTTATTGGTATAATCGAAAGAATTGAAACCAATCTTGCTACTCATCTTTATAAGCGATTTATCTGGTAGAT